GAAGAGTCTGCATTCCATTGGTCATGGCAACATTCCCTAGGCGTGGCTGCTTTAGGAGGAGGTCATGGATTAGCTCCCCCTCAACCTCCAATTCCCAGCCCACAAGCAACTTCATCCAGTAATGTCACCCCCACACCTTATCTCCTGCCCCAGTTAAAATGAATGTACCATTTTTCTGTGTTGCTGTGATCATCACTCCCCCCACCCCCTACACATACATGCAGGGCACTTCTTCCAAGCAGGTTCTAGATGGCTCTGCTTATCACTGTCCCTGGGCCTTGGCACAGCACCTGACACATGCAGGTTCAAGGAGTGGGTGAGCTGAAGGATTTTCTAGGGTCCCATGTCCCAGAGAGGCTGAGGGGCAGAAGGTGGGTGTCCCCAACAGTGACTGCAGCAGAGATGGGTCTGATCTTTAACCACAGTGAAAGATCTGTCACCCAGAGAGAGGAACTAACTCCACCAGCTTCAGCTTCCTAGACCAATTCACAGAAGAAAGCAGACCAGGAGGGCTACCAAGCAGCAGGTGTCATCAGCAGAACAGTCACTAGCCCTAGGAGCCCTGGACCTGTCACCATAGTTGGCATCTGCCTTGAACACTTTTAGCCGTAGGGAAATTTCCTTTCTCAGTCACAGCACCAATGGCAATACTAAAAATGACCCATATCAGCTCTTGACACCCTCACAATGGCCTTTGGAGACAGTGGAAGTTTTATTTCCATTTTACAGGTGACTCTAGAGCTCAGAAAGGTATGCAGGTGTGCAGAGTGGCCTGGCATGTGATGGGTGGAGGTAAAACTTTGAAAACAGACAGTCAGAGCCCAGAGCAGATGTCTTAATCCCATCTTTTTTCCTCCTGGACGTGCTTCTCTAATTGGATGGCGAGGCCAGGAGTAGTCTGCTAAATGTGGCTCTGTCCTTGCCCTGTTCACACGTGCTGAATACGTCCACTCCCTTCATGCAAAGGGCAGCATGCACTGTTACCCTGCATATTCACTGAGTGCTAGGCCTTGTACCAGGTGCATTGGTGAACCGAAACAGATTTCACCCAGCGTCTGTTCTACTGGGAAATAAGGAGACTTGACATGTCCAGTTACGAATTGTGATACACGTGCAGAAGACAAACGACAGCCATCTCTAAGAGAGAACAACTGGGAGGACATAATATAGACGGAAGGGTCAGAAGTGATAGTTACACGCACACAAGCCATCCTTCTCCAGTTGCTTAGTCCTCACAGAAAGCCAGTCAGGGCTCCGCCTGCTGGGATTCTGGAATAAAGGAACTTCTCGATTTGCTTACTATCAAGGAAAAATGCCATTTTGCCATGTATGCAAGCAAGACGTTTTGAAATCCCAGGGTCCTGTGACTTCACAGTAAAAGGCAAAGGAAGGCGAATTTGACTTTGTGTTTTGTCGCTCTGGAATAAAACAGGAAGGGCAGGGTCCCCAGCCAGGGTCAGCGACAGAGTTGTGGACCTTGCCTCGCTCCGCGGGCTCGAAAGTGCGGTGCTCTGTCGCCACCTGGTGGAAGGATTAGATAATGCGAGGGGCGGGCCCCTCTGTAGGATCCAGAATGCGGTCCCTCCGGGCGGAGGCTCGTAGAGCTCAGGTTTGGGTGACTTCCTGGCAGAGGGCGGGTGAGAAGAAGGAGCGAGGGTGGAAAGGGAATTGCTGCTTGAAAGTCAACTGACTGGAGACCGACAATGGCCCCATTGTGTCCAGAGCCTTGACCTTGATTTCCAGCCACTCTCATCCCCAGAGTGGCATCACTCACGTCTGATTGGCCGGGAGTCCGCTCGGCGACGGTGGGCGGGCTGCGCGGCTGGACACCCGGCGACGGGCTCCCGAAGGCCGAGACGCCGGGCTGGCCCGGTCCCCCTCCTGCCACCCTCAGAAACGCGGGAATGGCTGTGGGAAGGGACCGACTCTGTCATTTCTTCGCAGCTGTCCGCCAGCAGGAGGCGGGCGTCGCAGCTTCCTTAAGGACTGCGCAGCTCGCTGCTGAAGGCCTGGGACCTGAGGCCCGTGAGATCCGCCCCCAAATTAATTCTGGGATCCTTGGCACCACCCACGTTTTAAAAAATTACACATTCTCTTGTAAAAAGTATTTCGCAAGACAGTAAAACCTGAAGCTTTGTCATAGTCAAACCTCCTGGGACAGCTATTATTGTTCAGTTAATGTGTGTCCTTCCGGGCCTCGTTCAGTATTTGATAAGGGCTATGTGTACATATGAGTATACAGGCTCTGGTGTACTTGCTTTCTGGGTCTCAGTTTCCTAATCTGAAAACAGGGGTGATAACAACAGGAAATTGCGGAGTTACCAAGGTTGCCTGAGGACATTCATGTAGAAAGCTCAGCGCGGTACCTGACCCACTGTCATTCTTGGCATTGTTGCAGCCTTTATTGTCATTGTCATTGGGCCCCCTCCCCAGCTCTGAGATCTCTATTGGTTGCCCTTTCCTCCCTCCACAGCCTGTCCTTCCGTTCCTCCTTCACCCCGCTAATGAAGCAGGCTCCCGTAAGAATCTGTGTTCCCTAATGCCTGTCTGTGTTTTAAGTTAGAAAGAGCACCTGGTGCTCTCTGCGTGTTTTCCCCTTCCCTCCCGTCTCTCTCGTATTTGAACTAGATGGGGCCACTCGCTCCTCCTCGGAGACAACGATCCTATTCTGAGTCAGAGGAAAAGGCACTCACGGGATGGCAGGACCCACGGTGTCTCTCCGCACAGGCTCCCTGAGGTAGAGAAGGATGCGGACTGTGGGAGAGGCCGCCTGAGGCGCAGCAAACTGCGGGATCTGCTGTCCGCGCACAGAGGAAGCCTGCAAACAGATGCGGCAAAAGGCCAGTCGTATCGTATCACGTCTGAGGTTTGGCCTCTTCATCTGGATAGCAAGGTATGACAATAGCTACTGCTTGCAGGTGTGGGGCGGGGGTGGGGCTCCTAATACGTAGTAGTTATTATGTTGTAAAAGGACGTCTTATTTACTTAGCATTTCAACTTTCAAAGGAAATTGATATCTTTCTTCTCTTTAAGCTAGTCCTGGCTGTATGAAAGAAGTCTGGGTTTGATTTATAGGTCTCTGGAGAAAGGTAATTGACTTCACCTGGAGTTTCTGTTGAAGCAGCTGAATACCAGTGTGAACTGTTGCTGGTCCCCTAAGACCACCCACAGAGCTCCCTCCACCCAGAGGTCACTGGGATATCAAAGAACCTCTCTGTTTCAAAAGATGCTACAAAAAGATGACATGGGAAAGAATCAGGACCAAGTCACTCATTCAGCAAGCACCCACTGGATGCCTGCTCCGGGCCGAGCCTGAGCACTATGGTACATCACAGCCAGAGGGCCCTTGGGACACCACACATTGATTTAGTTATATTTGATTGTTAATGTTTATTCAGTGTTTATTAGGTACCCACTGTTTCATAAGACATCAAACAAGTCAAGATGGGGAAGAGTCTTGCCCTGGAGTAATTTATTTTCTAAACATGCCTTGCACATGGTATTTTCTGTTTGGCTTTATTTTTTAAGTATAATTTACACACATTAAAATTCCTTCTTGGCAAACAGTTCTATGAATTTTACCTGCCTTCATTTGTATGTAGAATTCTACATACTTCTGTGAATTCTACATACTTCTTTTTTGGTGGTGGTACTTGACAGGGAAACCAGCATTGCTTTGCCACTGAGTTATATTCCCAGCTCTTGTTTATTTTATTTTGAGACAGTCTAAGTTGCCTAGGCTGGTCTTGAACTTATGATACTGCTTCCTCTGCCTCCCTAGTATCAAGGATATCAGGTGTCTACCACTACACCTGGGGAGTTCCCTGTACTTTTATCTTACATATAGGCTTGTACAGCCACATTAAGAGGTAGCTACTACACCACGGAACGCCTTAGTGCCACCACTTTGCATTCACGTCTACACCCAGTTCGTTCTTCCTGGTTTCCCCAATCATTCCCACCCCTACCCCACTCCCACCTCCCCCCACAAGTGTCTGTTCCCCAGCTCTCCTCCTCGCCTCATTTCCTTCCAGTCACAATGGCTTCCTTCCTTCTCCTCCTCCTTCTCCTCCTCCTCCTCCTTCTTCCTTTTCTTTGATACTGGGAGTCGAATTCAAGACCTTGCGCTTGCCAGGTGGGCACCTGTGCCACTGAGCTATATCCCTGGCCCATGACTTCCTTTCCTATTTCACTCACTAAGCACGTTTCTTCCTCAAGGCTCTTCACTCCTAGTTCCCTCCCCCTGGAACCTTCTTGCCTCGCTATCCCCATAGCTCAGTTTCTCCCCTTGTTTGATCTCCATCTACTGTCAGCTCAGTGGAGGCACATGGACCCCCCAAACCTCACAGCTCACCCTCACAGCTCCCTGTTAATCTTGGTCCTATTTAATCAGAGGTAATTAAGCATTACCTCAGCTTGCAGTGATATGGAAGCAATGGTTGACGTCTTCCTACCTTTCTCCCCTGAGTGAAGTTTGGTTTTTTTGATGTTTCCAATGCTTAACACAGTAGAGGGCACATACCAAGGACCAAGAAGTAGTTGTGGAATAAACGAGTCCAGGAAACTTCCTGTGACCCTCTCCTCATACCTTTGTTCTCCTTTCACCCCGCTGTCATTGTGCCAACCAGGGTGTAGCAAGAGGAAGCTGCTTGGCCCATCTGTCCTTCTCAACTCTCGCCTCTTTCCGGGTCTTTTCACTGGTCTCTTGTACTGGAAGCCTGAGTAAGCCAACCCTCTGCGTCAAAGTCTGACTCACAGCAGCTAGAGCAAGTACGGACGCGCTCCTTTCTGACGCTTGGACAACCCTGAGGGCCACTCCCACTGTTCCTCGGCATACCCCCGTTGGATCCAGCCCTAGTGGTCCCCCAGTGTCGATCATCTCCACAGACACCATTACAGAGACCTTCTTGGCTCCTGTTCCTGGATCATGTTTTGAACTAACTTCCGAGTGAGCCCTTTCTTTGCTTTTTCTCTAACTAGGTAAGTAGCAAGGATGGAGATTAAACTAAAACAAAAACATGGAGCTTTTTAAATGGGAAAGGCCAATAATGATAAAGGAAAAGGAAATAAAATTTAAATAACTACAGTACAAGTGGAGGCATAGATGTATAACCAATAGAATGGGAATAAATGAAATCAATGCAGTTCAAGCCTGAGTTCATAACATGTTTGAAGTGGATCAAAGAACTAAATTATTTTTAAAAATTGAAAACTGGGCTAGGGATTTAGCTCAGCAGTGTAAGCACCTGCCTGGCAAGCGTGAGGTTATGAATTCGATCCCTGGTACCAAAACTAGATAAATAAATAAAATAAAAATTGAGAACTATAAAACATCTGAAGGAAGGAATAAGAGAGAACTTTATGGCCTTGGGGTGGGCAGTAATTTCTTGGCCCATTCCTTTCTATGACCCTATTTCTGTCTTTTGAAATGTGTGAAGGAATCCGACCATTGGCATCCTGGTCTAAGCAGAGACCATTTTAAATCTCTTCCCTGATGTACGTTTGTTTATTTGTTTGTTTGTTTGTTTGAGTCTGGGTCTCACTATGTAGCCCAGACTGGCCTCAAACTCATGGTGATCCTCCTGCCTCAGCCTCCCAAGTTCTGGTATTACAGACATGCACCACCATGGCCAGCCTCTGCCATGCCTTCATACCTGCTACAGATTTATAGTCCTGAGTCAATAAGGCCCAGTAAACACAGCTGCACCATATCATTCCCAATCGTCGTTCAGTCCTGCTCTTGACAAACAACATAAAACTCCTTGTATGTTCCCACCTGTCTTGGGTGGATAACCACAACTATGTCCTGAGCTCTCTGCCTCAAAAGTCCCACTGTGACTCTTCCTTCAACAGCTTCCTCCACCCACACCCCTTTTTTTAAACACTCACAACCCTATAAAAGATCATACAATCTGTCCGTGGCATTGAGAAGCAGAAGAGGGAGAATGGAGGCCAGTAAGCCGCATGCATAGAAATATGCCACTGCCCACACTGACACAGGAAGACTCCATACTTTGCAGGCTGCCAATTCAGCCCTTTGGGGGTTGGCATAGGGAACAGAATGGGTACACTTTCATCTGAACTGTGACTGAAGCAGTCCAGAGATCCATGTGGAGGTGGCATCTAACAAAAGGCTCTGGATGTGATAGCAGCTTTCGTGTCCACTGCCACAGCTGAAGAATTGCAATACAGTGGCCCTGGCCATTGTGTGACACAGTGGCCCCTGATCATCTTTTCAAGAAGCACATGAGTAATGGGAACATAGGTCTGCCTTTTCTCTTTCAGGTTGTGCATGGAGGTGACAGGGACTCACTCACTGGAGATAGTGAACTGGAGAACAAGTTCTACGCAAGACAGCAGCTAACAATAGCTCTCTATGGCTGATCCTATTGTTATTCCCACTTTACAGGTGAGAAACTGAGTCTTAAAAGGGTTCAGTAAATTGTGCGGGGCCCCAAGGTGCGGAAGGAGAACCGAGGCTGGAGCACGTATCTCTGCACACTGATAACCATAACATTGCCCTGCCTCCCTCAGAGTGGCAGAAGTCACTGCATAATCATAAATAACCTTCCAAATAAAAGGAGGGATAAATACAAACTTTCTTTAGCTCATCCATTCCAAAAGGCATCGATAAGTCTTTCTTGGGGATCCTCCAAAAAGGAGATTCCTAAGACCCAGAAGATCTGGAAATTAGAGTCTCATGCTCTAATCAAACTCACAGGGACTTAGCCAGGAGTACTTGCCTGGGTCTTCTAAGAATCTCTCAACAGTGCCACATGCCTCAGTTTTATCTAAGCAACAGAAGGTGGTGGTGGAGGCGGCAGCGGCGGCAGCAGTAACAGCAAATCTGTCCCTGGTGCACTAGAGTGCTGCTTTGCTCTAATGAAACACACATGGCATATGGTTGCAAAGTTACTATCTTGAGAGCAGATAGAAATGGGATTTTTTTTCCTTGTGCCAGATTTCACTTCCTTTTCTGAAACAATTCTTATAGTAAACAGAGGTTTTCTGATCTTGTTAAGAGCCTAAGAATGGGAATTCCTTTACACTTTTTAAGTAAGAATATTGTCTTAGAGTGTTTCAGTCTGGTGATGGTGCAAATGTTTTTTGAAACATGAAAGTTATCTTGTGTCCTTTCCCTTTCCCCATAAAGGCCAGGATGGGAAGGGGAGCTGCCTCTGCCTGGTGACCAAATCCATTCCAGTTACAGACCACCCGGGTGATGAGCCCTCTGAATGTGTGGTTCCGTGGCTGCCATCCCATGGCTGGGGAAAAGCAAGGCTTGTTGAGGGTGGAGGCCAGCGCGTGGGGCCACCGAGGAAGGACCAGGAAGCCAGTGGAATGTGAGTTCCAGGAGGAGAATTATTTTGAACCAAGTCTTGTGCACTGACAGCATAATGATCATTATTAGGGCCTCAGATAAAACACGAAGCCCGCCCTGAAGTTAAATTTTCCCTTTCAGATAAGCGTGGCCTGTCAGCCCAGTGTGAGCCGGTTCTGTGGCAGCCTCCTCCACGACAGGGGGCGGGAATGCTCCAGCTGTTCCCTCCCTGGCACCTTCCATTAAGGCCTTGTTTTGTTTTTTTTTTAGTAAATAAGGGCCCTATTTTTCTACTTTAGTCTTTTAAAATCAACCTGAGAAACACTGCAGAAGCGGATGTATCTGTAGTTCTCTGCCCACATTTAGCTTCAGGGGTATGGTCTGAAATCTTATCTCCCCAGGGACCTTCCTAGACACAGTGAGACCCCTACCAGAGGGAGGCATCTGTGGCCTGAATTATGCCTAGAGGATTTGGGGAGGGGGGTTAGTAGTGTTTTATAAGTTGGTTTTCATATCAAAATCCTGTTTTCTGGCTTCTCCTTAAAAAAAAATTAGAAAACCTAGGCACACTGAGCTGTGCGTGTTCCTTAGGGTAAGTGCCTGGTGCTGAATCATAGTCGCTGTCTTTGCGACTGTTTTGTGGTTCATCACAGTCTCCACCACTCCCCGTCATTTCCCTTATAATCTCTTAAGAGCAGGTATAAACTAAAAGGCAGATATCAGTCTATGGGTTCCAGCCTTGGCCCACTGCTTACTTCCTGTGGCCCCCGACATGTGTTCACCTCTTTTTGAGGCCTGTTTTTAATACTTAGAAAGAAAAGCATAATGAGATGATGTGTGTGGAGCGCTCCAGAGCCTGGCGTAGAAGAAGCCCTTGCTGAGGATTTGCCACGCGAGCTTATTGGTGTACACTCTCATTTCCTGCCAAATAAAGTAAAACTAAATATTTTAGTTATTCATATATCCCTGAACACATTATTAATATAGTCCCTGGCACATGACGCTCAGCAAATATTTGAATGAATATGTGGATTTAATGTTTCTCTGACTTTATTTTTCTTATATGTCAAATTATTATTCACCTATTTTATAAATATAAGTGCAAATGGACTTACAAGTTTATTTTTCTTTCTTTCTTGTTTGCTTTTTTGAGACAGGATCTATCTATGTAGTTCAGACTGCCCTCGAACTCACTATGTAGCCCAGGCTGGCCTTGAACTCGCAGTGATCCTCTTGCCTCAGCCTCCAAAGTGCTGGAATTATGGGCAGGTACCACCCAGCTCAAGCTTTATTTCTAATTTTTAAAAAATTATTTCTAACTTATATGTGCTGATTTTCTTTCTGATTTTTTAGAACATTAAAAAGCAAGAATATGCTTCAGAGTTGATGAGAATTTCATTGCTATAGCCTGGGATAAAAATGTTTTTTCCTCTAGGGCTGGGTTTCTTAAACCATTATCAGAACTCTAGCCCACTTCAGGAATCAGTCCTTCAAAAAGTCACAATTAGAATCGTGCACATTTATGTGGTGCCTCTTGAGCCTTCTGGGTGCTGTCCAAACACATTTGGAGCACTAAGTGCTCCTTGAAGCATCTTTCCTGAAGCAATACGCTCCCAGGAGAGTACACTTAGGTAAAACCTATGGCAGGTCCTGTTCCATCTGCCTATAGGCTTTCTCTCAGAAGTCTGCACCTCTTTGGAGGCTCCTTTCCTGAAAGAAAAAAAAAGAGCCAGTGATGGTAAGTTGGCTCCCAAGTGAATCTGAGCCTCTTGGAACTTTAAACTGAGCCTGCAGGAACTCTCAATAGACTTGTGATTTCAGTACTGGTTGCCTGTCAGGGTCAACTGTGTTTCTTGTTTACTCAGCATCCACTTCTCCTTCTGGGAAGACCTAAACTTCATCCTTTCTGTACTTCTATCTTCAGATTTGGAAAAAACTAAGTTCACTTCCAGCTCCAGGAGAGTATGTGTAATCAGCCACAGTGTCACATCTCCTGACCATAACCAATTCAGAGGAAAGCAAGTTCCCCAAGCCAATCCAAACACTGAAACTCCATTCTGGAGTTTTTCTAAATATCTTATAGGAGAGGAAAAATGTTTATCTTTTCTCTCTCTCTCTCTGTCTCTCTGTCTCTCTCTCTCTGTCTCTGTCTTTCTGTCTCTCTGTCTCTCTCTCTGTCTTTCTGTCTCTCTCTCTGTCTCTGTCTCTCTCTCTGTCTCTGTGTTTCTCTCTTTCTGTCTCTCTGTCTCTGTCTCTCTGTCTCTGTTTCTGTCTCTCTCTCTTTTTTATGGTACCAGGGATCAAACTCATGACCTCGTGCTTGCCAGGCAGGCGCTTATGCTACTGAGCTAAATCCTTAGCCCTGAGAATGAAATTCTTACATGCTCTGAGGGACTGTCTGAGAATGATGTCATGTACTGAAGAGCATAAAACAGAGAGTTCTGTTAATGGCATTTGAGTGCCTGGATCCTGCTATTCCTGAAGCTTAGATTCACTCCTGGATTTTTGGTTTCCTGAACCAATATAGTACCGCTCTGTCTTAGATTTGCTTGAATAGTACTTCAGCACATGCAATGAAGACATTCCTGATTAGCAAGTTGGAATTTTAATTTTTTTTAGCAAGTTGGAATTTTTAAAATGTAGATTGATTTGGACATGGTAGTACATACCTGTGATCCCAACACTTGGGTGGGTAAGGCAGAAGGCTCACTGCAAGTTTGAGGCCAACCTTGGTTACATAGTGAGTTCAAGACCAGCCTGAACTACATAGTGAGGTCCTGCCTCACAAAACCAAAGCATATATATATATATATATATATATATATATATATATATATGGGAGAAAAAAGGCATCAGACTTTTGAGATCCACTGCTTAGAAACAAACTGATGACTTTGCCTCTCCACATGAACCTCAAATTTCATTAGAACAATGTGCTAGGAAGCAGTATGGGCAATGTTATTATTTTTTTATTTCCTTAATACTTCTACATGAAAGAAGATCCACCCATTTTTCTTCATTTCTGTGCACATTCACTAGCTTTCTTTTCCAGATCTGTTTCCACTGAAGTATGGGGAGATATTGAAGTAAGCCAGAGGATGGTTCTTGGCAAATTTCTTCAATGCTCTAAAACTCTCTACGTTTGACTGAGGGGAATTCTGCTAGTATTTGACATTGAGACTGTGAGCACCAATTTGTGTAGATCTTACTAAAGACCTTTATTTAATAGGAGCATAACACTTGGTTCAGTGGATTCATTCCTTACCTTTCTACTGTAAATTTGTACTTTAGCATAATAGTAGCCAGCTGTGTGTCTCAGCACCTCTCTCTGAGGGACACAGGAAGTAATCTATGTGTTTACCCACTTGGTATGATGAACAGCAAGTTGTGTGGACATGTGCAAAATGGAATTTTTATCCACATTATGCTCTGGCTAACTCATTTTGCATATGTTTACCTGAGCATCACAGAGGGTCCAGGAGACCCACACCACTTCAGGATTTGTTTTGTTTTTTAAAGTTTTCTTTTGATTTTTCTGATATAAGTAGTCCAGTTCAGTACAATGCACATGAAACACTTAGATTTTCAAGTTTTGGAGGAGTTCAAAAGTGAATCATCAGTTTGCTCATACATGGATGATGATGATCGATTATGGCAAAATAACATGATCTGTTATGCTTTCATAACAGAAGAGTGTTGTGGGTGGATGATAATGATGACTTTGACATTGGCCATGGGAGCCAAGGTTCCTGTGACAATGTAATGGAGCAAGAATTGGCTGATACAGACAGAAGGAGTTGACGTCTTTGATTCAGACAATGAAAACAGCAATGTGAATACATATTTGACTAGTTGAAATGTTTCAAGAAGGCCTTGCAACCAAATGTAACAATTCTAGTTAGAACTAGATCTGAAAATATAGTGAGGGGTCTTGGCACAGGTGAGATGTATTGGACAAAATGCCAGCATTTCCATTTAGTGTTGGAAATTATAACAGACAATATGCTACAAAATACACAAAAGCTGAAATGCAAATAAAATACTGTGTGTACCAATAGCCAAATACAAAAATGTATTTATTATGACACATTAACTGAACTGAAAGCCTTTATAGGTCTGCTGTACTTAGCAAGGATTTCTCATGATGATCACAGGAATGTAAAAGACTTATGGAAAATCAGCGGATCAAAATATGGCATAAAAATGTATTCCCTTGTAGATGTGAAGACTTATTATGCTTTCAGTTTAGACATTTATCCTGGTACTCAGCCATCAAGTCTTTATTCGTGTAGTAATAATCCAAATGAGGTTGTGAACAGACTGGTTGCTTCCATCTCCCAAACTAATTAGAATGTGACATTTGACAACTAGCTTACCAATTTCCAACTGATGGTACATTTGCTAACAGAGATGTTACATTTGACCAGCACAGGAGTTGTATACAGGAACAAAGCAGAAATTCCAAATGAAATGTTGCAATTTCAAAACCAAGAATTGTATAGTATGATCTTTGAATTTCAGAAAGATATAACATTGGCCTCCTATATGGCAAAGGAAAACAAAATGGCACTGCTGATGTCAACATTTCACTAGGATGAAAATATTGATAGGGAAACCCTGACAAAATGGAAGCCTGAGATAGAAACTTTAAACAACAAAATCAAAGGTAGATTAGATGTTGATGAGTTATGCAACTATGATGTCACTTAAAACACAAAGCATTGACCATTACTTTGTGTTTTACTCAATCCTACACATGTGTGGCATAAATAGTTTGATAGTTTAGAAAGAAAATAACAAATGCAAAATGTCATGGAGAAATTTTCTTAGAGAATTGGAACTGGAGCTCAAAAGAGATCATTTACCACCGGGCGTGGTGGCTCATGCCTGTAATCCCAGCACTAGGGAGGCTGAGGCTGGAGGATCATTGCGAGTTCGAGACTAGCCTGGGCTACAAAGTGAGCCCAAGGCTAGCCTGAACTGCACAGCGAGACCCTGTCTCAAAAAGACAAAAAAAAAGAGAGAGAGAGAGAGATCATTTACAGTGGAGAAAAAATAAAATGTTTCTGCCTACAGAACTACACAAAGAAATTGTGGGACACATTGGTGAGCTGACAGGTAAACAGGCAGGCACAGTATCACAATGACCTACCATGACAATAAGAAAACAAAAAAGGGCTATAGGGCTATAAGAAATGTAGACAAACAAATAAATATACAAGTTATCAGTGTAAGCGATACTTACATATGGAACATGCCATTTTCATATGTTAAGACTGCCTTGGGAATGACAGTTGAAGCAAAGATTATTTCTGTGGTAGATTTTTGTTTGTGTTTACATTGTAGTTCACACAGGCTTTTTGATGTTATCCTTTTAGGTTTTGTAAGCAAGTAAACAGCTGATTTGTAAATGCTGATGTCTATTCTGAGCACTCACTGAATATTTGATATTTTATTTTATTTTATTGATATCTTATTTCCTTGCTAAGTGCATGTTATACAATATAATAGGAACCTCTTAAGAAAACAGTAAGACCACTGAGATGTCAAGTGTGTCCTACAAGAAGGTCAGGAAAGCTAAGCACATTTACTGCCTAGTGTAAGTGAATGTGTGCACAGAACATGCAGTTGTCATGTATGAAGACTGCCTTACATGTGATAATTGAAGATTATTTTTTGTAAAGTGCTATTGTTATTTTCATTGTAGTTCATATAAGGATTTATGTTATTGTTTAGACTTTGTACACTGAAAAATCAGTCGATGTTGAAATTTTGATGCTTTTTTATGAACACTCAGTAAATATTAAAGACCCAATACTTTATTTTTGTGCGTTTTTTCCCCATGAAGTATTCACTGTTTAATTAATAAAACTCATAAAATTAAAACAATGCATCAATAGAAACATACTAAATACTACATGTGGGTCTGACAGACCCATGGTTCTGTGCCTTTCTGACAAAATTTTGTTATGCTTTTACTGATTCCATCTGCATTCAGATTGTAACGCCACACGTGGCCCAGCAAGTGGGTAGGCGTTCTCCTTGTCTCGGGAGGGGCGCGTCTAATCTCCGAGCAGCCCTTCACCGCCATTTAGGGCTGCATTTTGCTGTGCTCCTACTTTCCCTCATGACCCAGCCTGAATACTGCTGCCAAATGATGCTTTACCAAGCACCTCTTTCCATCCCCATTTCTCTGTTGAGGGACCTCAATGATTCATTGTAGTTTTTATATGGAATCTGTTTTCTACTCAGCCCTTGATGAAACTACTACTACTGATAAAAGCTAACACTTTTAGAGCTCTTACTATGTGCCAGGCCATGTAAGTTTCTCAGTTGGCCCTGAAAATGAAACTGTGAAGCTGACATTAATGCAGAGAGAGCTTGATCAAGGTCAGGTGAATGGTAAATGATAGAATCTAAATGTATCCCCTTAATGTGATCACAGGCGGGGCTTTCCAGAGAAGGCTGCCCCTAGGCTGTGTAATGCTGGGATTGAGTATGTGGTGCTAGGATTTATTCACCAGTGCTGGGTTAAAGGTGTGAGTGCTCCCGGTCCTAAGGGGGACAGATAGAAGGGACAGAAAAAGCTGCTGTGGATTGCTTGTCACTTCGTTGCTTCTGCTTGGTTTTTGCTCTGTGATGCCCCTCTGCCATCCTGCTTTGAAGCCAGCCTATTATGGACTGAAATCTCTACAAACTGTGAGCTGAAATAAACTTTTCTTCTTTTAAATTTGGGTATTGGGTATTTTGTCTCAGCAATAAGAAAAGTAACTAAGACAAACTGTCATTTAAGCTCACAGTTCCAGACTCTTAGTAGAATAATTTGCTTTTTGTCTATTTCATTCTTCTCAAATCTCTGGGTTCCACAGTCCCCTTCAGTTAGTCCTGTGGCTATCCCCAGGGTTCTGTGTTTATTTTCTTGGCTTACTTGTTCAGTCACTTAATCATTCATTCAACAAACATTCATCAGGCTGATCTATGCCCAAGTAATTTCATGGTTATCTTCGTTCACTCATTCATTTATTTATTCATCCAACAAATATTTTCTTTTACCCCCAATCCTCCAAATGCTGCCCATCTTTCAAGACTCTGCTTCAAGCCCTTCCTTTCATGCACACTCCCCGCCCCTTCCACGAATGCTGAAGTCACAGAAGAGCATGACATACTTTAGCATTCAATTTCACTGCAGCCTGGCAAGGTCATCTTTGGACTCATCTTCCCATCAGGGGTCAGCACAGGAGCAGCCCAGGACAGACACTCCTTTCATATCTATCACAGTGTTGAGTGCACATTAGGAATCAAAGAACACTATTTCACTTTTGGGGGGGTGGGCTATACCTGAACTATAGCTTCAGAAACACCTCTGCCAGTTGAGTAAACAAATAAGATATAATAAAAATGCAATGGGTTTTTAAATAGCCTTTAAAAAATATTACCAAGGAACTGGAGTGTTCGTAATTCAATGAGGGAGCACATACTTGCCTAACATGCACAAGGCCCTGGATTCAATTCTCAGGACTGAAAAAAAATTGTGAACCTAGGTTCTCTTTCTTTGCCCTAAAATTTACTTGAAGTTTATGATAGTCTTGTAAAGTAGGTATTATTATCCCCATTTACAAATAACGCTGCTGAGACTTGCCCACATTCACAAAATGATAAATCTCAGAGCATTAGCTCTCAACCCCTAGATTGTGCTGCCTCCACAATCCTTGGGTGGGTCTCCTGAGTGAACATATACACTGAGAAGCCTTTATGTTTGTGGCTAATAGATTTTCATGGAAAATAAGCTTTGCTTGTACCCAGACATCTGTCATATTTCCAGACACGGAAATGCCCTACTGTTGTAAAGATACTTTGTGAAATTCCAGCAACTTGGCTTAGCCTACTGCTTAATCTTGGAACTAAGAGCAAAATCCTACAAGAAAGCCATGTGAGATGCATTCCTTGGTCACATCTCTGATTCTTGGATGCTGCCGGTGACATTCTCTGACTTTCTACCCACGTGAAGAGGGACAGAGGTGGCGATGGGGATGAGGAGTGCTCTGTGTTTTCCTCTGATGGTTACACCCTCACCCTACCAACTCAAGAAAAAGGGAGTGGCTAGGGACCTTACTGAAAATGTGCTGAGCATCTTTTCTACTCCAGCAAAGCTCCCATATGTCCCAGCTGCCATATCCAGCCACCGTGAGCCATTTCCCTCCCTTCCAAGGCAATTATGTCCCCTATACATTCATTCTATGTCCACCTTGCTTGCCCCAGATTAGAGGCATGTACCTCGGCCCTGGAAACCCCTCCAGCCTTCATTCAGTCAGTGTAACTACGATTGTGCCTACTTCTGCTTTTCCCTCTGTGTTTGGAAAAGGGGCTCTTACCCTACCCTGGTGATACAAAAGTAGTTTTGGGGTGTACACGGATGCCCTTTATTCCTCACAGGCAAACAAACAATGCCTCTCTTCCCTGCCAGCCCACTGCCTGGTCCTGCAGGGAGTCAGCTGCCTCAAGATCATCACATGTGCTGCTTCCTTTCTCTCAACCCTCATGTCTGCAGCCTCTCAGCCTCCCTCCCGCTAATGCTGTTAAGCACTCCTTTCTAGGACTCTCTTTACTTTGCCCTCCCTTTCCAAACCACTTTGAAATCCCTTCTCCCTTCTCCTGGAGGAACCCCCAAACCTCGTTCTAGCCCACCTGCCCCTCCTCACCCTTCAGCAGGAGTTCTCCTGAGATCTGCCAGGCTCCCATCATCTTGCTGCCCATTCTTTTCCACTCCTTGGGACCTGGGCTCATATTTTTGATCTTTTCTCTCCTTTTAAATTCTGTCTGGAACCATGATTCTTTTTTTTTAAACTGTCCTCTTTCCCATTTATATTCTAATTTAGGTTATCTTTTGCTTTTTTGAGACAAGATCTTGCTATGTAGTTCAGGCTCACCTTGAACTCATATGTAGCCAACACTGGCCTCAAACTCAGTGACCCTCCTGCCTCAGCCTCCTAAGGGCTGGGATTACAGGTATGCACACCACCATGCCTTCTGTATACATTTATTTTTAAAAGAAATTAGAGTAGGGGGCACACACCTATAATCTCAGCACTGGGAAGGCTGAGGCAGGAGGGCCACCAAGAGTTCAAAACCAGTCAGGAGAACATACTAAGTTGAAAGCCAGTCTGAACTGCATAGCAAGACCCTATCTCCAAAAATATCCCCAATAAGTAAATGAATGTAAAAAGATGCCACCAAAATAAAACAAGTAAGTAATAAAGAGTACAAGCCATACTTGGATACAAGAAACATAACCACTGTAGATTAAGGTAAGCAGTGGCTATCAAACTGAACCTTCTATGGGGTGTTTTATTTTCATTTGTTTATATTTTTATGGTCTGGGGAGACAGGAGAGTCACAGAGGTGTACACATACCATTATAGTAAGCAAGAGAAGAAATTTGGACTGAAAATAAGCCTCTCTCTCCCTCCTTCCCTTGTCCCTCTGTGGTACTGGGATGCAACTCGTTCACTGGATCTTAGAAGACCATCAGCCTGGCATCCTAGAATGATTAAAAGTTAATTGTAAAATAACTGCTTGGTCTAAGATAGCATATTCTGAGAGAAAAAGACAATATATAAGAAACCTCCATAGCTATGTAGGTAGTAGAATAAAACTGAAAGTCAGCAAGAACTGCAAGGATGAAATAAGTAGTGGTCTGAACCTAGACCTCCGTGAGGTATTTTATCTTCATTTGATTTGTTTGCATTTTCACGGCCTATTGGGGAATACTGGAATGTCAAAAAGATGTAGGTATTATTATAGCCAGAAAAGTTTGAACAGGAAATCTGTTTCTTTTCTTGTTTTTGTTATTTGCAATGTCGAATATCAGAACATGGGCTTCACACATGCCAAGGTAGTGATCTACTACTGAAATACACCCAAGTTCAGAAAATCAATTTCTAAAATTAAAAGTTAAGAAAATCTCAAGCAGAACTTGCAAGCTGATCTAGGCTTTGCTCCAGGAGCGGTTCAGTGATTTCCCTCCCCGTGGGAATAGGAGACATTCTGTACTGAAGTTCTGGCCTGGACTCAGCCCTTCTCCTTCTCTCTGGCCACGAATGAAGTCTTAATTACATCCTTTAGCACTGGGCACACTATTGGTTTACGGAAGTTTAGAGAAAAAGTTAATCAGCTTCAGTCCTAGTCAGTTCTCTGTGGTGCAGCTCGAGGGTAAACCCTGAGTCCAAATTGATAGTGACAACGCAAGGAGGCAGCAGCCCACAGGAACCCGCAGGGACCTTGGCCCTTCTCCCAAGCGCCAGGGCTTGTGGCGAGGGATTTTGGGCTGGAGTCCCGAAGAAGCGATCCAACCCGTGGGGGGCGCCTGCCGGAGTCTCGGGTGTCAGCTGCAGCGCAGCGGGAGGAGAGACCCTGAAGCCGGCCTAGCCTGCGGGTGGCGCCCGCCGAGCCGGGAGCACTGGCGCCGGCGCCTCGGAGGTAGCGGCCGGACTCGGCTCGCCCTGCGGCTCCGCGTGCAGCCCCGCCCCGCGCGCGTTGCCAGGGAAATCAGGTGACTCGCGGCTCGCAGCGCTCGGGGCGGCTGTGACGTCAGGAGCGCGGCTGCTCTTCACTAACTCGCGGCAGGTGCTTCGCTTTCAGTACTGGCTTGTCCAGTTTCCGTCGGCCCCCACTCGACCAGTGTCCAGACAGTTCGTAGAGAGGAGCGGAGAGGTAAGGCGAGGCAGACCCGGGCCGGGCTCGGCGGGCATCCGGGAAGGGTGAGGCGCGCGCCCTGCGCTCCTCACAGGCGCTCCTCACAGGCGCGCGCGAGGCCGGGCAGTCCGGGGCGCGCCGGGAGAGCGGCCGCCTGCCGCTCGCCCACCGGATGCCCGCGGCTTCCTTGCGGTTCTCCCGCCCGCCTGACTTCCGGGCGGTGGACTGCGAGGCTCCTTGTTTTGCGGTCGCGCGTCGCCCCGCCGTCTGGCTGAGAGCGGGGCTCGCCGCACCCCGTCTCGGGAGACTGCCGCCTCTGGCTGCGAGTTCTGGGGCGCTGCTGTACGTGCTCGGAGCGGCGCCCGCGGGAGGGCGCGGGAGGCCGCTGCGGGTGGGAGCCAAGCCGGGTGCGCTGGACGGAGGGGACGTCGAAACGTTTGGGCGCCGAGTCCCCGCTGCGGCTCGGGAACCTGACCGCTACCCGGGGCGCGGACTTGCGATCTGGGAAGCCCTGTTGGAGACGCGAGGTCTGAAGGGGGAAAATGTGTGTAGGCAGAGAGAGGACCTCCGCGGCTGGGGACCTTGAGCCCTAGCAGAAACTCGGTTTGGTCACTGGGCCAAGTGCTGGGTGTATCTGAGGGGGAAAATGAGTATAGAGAATTATGTCAGAGCCAGTTTTGAGGCCTGATGTTTTACTGTGCTGTGGGAAGCCGTTGACTTCCACCCCCAGCCCCTACTAGTGGTTGAACCCAGGGTCTCGCACAAATACTCGGCAAACGCTACGCAGGGCTATACTCCAGTCAGCCTTTTAAATTTTATTTTGATATCGGTTACCCCAAAATTACTCTGACTGGCTTCGAATTTGAGATTCTTCTGCTCTGGCCACCTGAGTAGCTGGAATTACACACGTGTGCCACCATGTCCAGTTTGAGCCATTGAGATACTGGCTGGATTGGGGTAGGGTTGGTGTGACAGTCCAAAAAGTGACAACACCCAAACTCTTGTCTGATGGGACTCCTGAAGTATTTATTCCAGACGCATGGTGGGGTGCAGGCAAGCAGGTGCCCCTTAACGAACCAGCCATTGTCAGCAGATATTTTAAAAATTTCTTACGCAAAAAAAATTCGTATGTGAGAGGGCACACCCAGCAGCTTATTTTTCTTGTATCTCATTTGAGTACATTAAATAACTGGCTAAGAGCTGTGTTCCCCTCCATATTCATGGAGATTGTAGTTCCACTGCACTTTGCCCCTCAGAGATTTCAGTGTCTGACATCTCTAGGGTGAAATTCAAATGCCAGGTGAGTGGTAAGAGATATAATTAAAAGAGAATCAGAGTGCTGGGGTTGTAGCTCAAAGAGAGAGAGAAAGAAAGAGGGAGATCAGCACCCAAAACATGAATAATGGGACATTGGGTAAATGTAGTTGTAAAACAAAAATTTCTAGCCCAGTTCCTGCCATATTAGCTTCTCTTTGTGGGCTTCTCTGTGAATTGCTTAAATGTTTCTTGGTTTTTTTGTTTGTTCAGGTTGGTTTGGTTTTTTGTTTGTTTGCTTTTTGAGACAGGATTTTGCTATGTACTCTAGTTCAGACTGGCCTTGAACTCACTGCGTAGCCCAAGCTGGCCTCAGGCTACATAGTGAGTTTGCAGCCATCTTCTTGCCTCAGCCTCCTAAGTGCTGGGATTACAGGAACAGTCTCTTACAGCAGGGCAAGATTCGTTAAATGTTTCAGTTTCTTGAGAAACAGGAAGAGATGTTTTTGTTACATAAGGAGGAGTGATTTGGTGATTTATAGTTGTTACCATCCCTGAAATATATTGTTCCGTGAACAAAGATCTACCCAGGTATCCATTTTGTATTCATACTTTAAAAGTTTTGTTTTCTGAGGGGACATGAAATGGCTGAACCTTGCATTAATTTATACTGTATTTATTTGCCTTCAGAAAACAGAATTGGACCTTCAGGAATCATGTACAATAAAAGACAGTTTAGGGAATTGCTAAGAACTTAGGAGAGTGACTACAGCTGGTCTGTGTATAAATGTAGAAATCAGCGCAGCACTCCAGGGAGACCAAGTCCAGAATGGAGAATCCTGGGGAAAGGGAACTTCCAGGCAGGTCAGTGATCATTCGCTATACAAGAATCCCCAAGATAGGTGATTTTAAAAAGTTCCAAAGGATGTAAAGATTCACAGTGGTTTATAAGGGCTTACATAAGCTTCCTAATATTCCCTGGAAATTAGATATCTTTGCCACTTTTTTTAATGTTTTTTTGTTTTTTTGTTTGTAGTCCAAGGTGGCAGGATCACGTAAGCCCACTAGTTTAAAAATAGGATGGCCCACAGAGAAAGGCTCCATCTTAACAAAACAAAACAAAACCAAAAAAACCACCTAATTAAATAAAGAAAAAACTATAAAATAATTTTTATTAACCATTTTCTAAATCTCTTTGATCATGTTTGAATTGGACAACTAATTATACTTCTCTGGAAACATTCCACCCCTTCCTTCCCCAGACACAGTGACTATGTGCTGTCAGAGCAGTTAAGTAGGCCAAGAGTTTTTGGAAATTTTCCCTGCTTTCATTCACCCCCCACAAGTTTTCTCATTAGTAAAAAAGTTAAGGCTTCATTGTCAGAAAAAAAATGTTAGTGTGTTTTCCTAAACGCAAGAGATGATAAACAACAGGGCCTGCAAGGAAATGGTCTCTTGGGCGCAGTTGAAACCAAGTGGGAGGCATTGGTGTGCCAACCTGAACACTCAGAGCCGTCATCTTTGTCACTCGAAGCCATGGACAGGGCACACCTTTCTTGGCACAGAAACATACCTTGACCTTCAACCACATAATGATCAGAAATCTTAATAGGGGTAACAAGGGAATTAATGAGGAAACTGTGTGAAGTCAGCTTTGACTTCCTCGGAAGCAGGCTGTTTTAATTTTGGAGTGAATGGTGTATTTTGAGGTAGAAGTTATAAATTTATAAAAGTCTCATTCAAATTCTAAAGCATTTTTGCAATTTTTTCCCCCTTCGAGTCCATAGAGTCAGCCTATATCTGGATGCCAGGGGTTAAGTGAATATTTGTATTCCTGTATAAATAAGCTCAGTTTGTTCAGTACTTTTTAGTCTGGTCTTGGGTCTTTCAGAGTGCCTACTGTGAACCAGTAATACCATAGGCTGTTAAGTTGGTAGCTTCCCGTCCAGCATCCTTTTAGTAACAGTGTTATCAAAAATTGTCTCAGCCCTGAAAAGTGTTAGTCATGAAGCTTGTCAGAGACAAAAATAAAAATAATGCTCGCTAAATTGGGTAAAGTAGTAGTCAAGCCACCAGTCCTGCTACAAAATTTAGTAGACTTTCAAGTGCTTGTTGAAGTACCAGAGACTATATGGAGCTATGAAACCATCTTTTAGACTTCTTGGTCAGGTGTAGCTCACTCACCTGAGGGAAGTTCAGATGAAGACACTTCCTGTTTTTCTCAAGCTGAACTGAGTAATGTATTCTAGACCTCCAAGCTCCCCAGCTTGAGCAAGGCTACTAATTGGCTTGGCTATAAAATGGGAGTCAGCAATTAAAAAGCAGAATAGAAGCAAGGGAATTGATGTGAGTTGACCCTCCAGTCTTACAACCAAAAAGATTCACACTGCTTTGAACACTGTATATGAAGGGCTCTTCAAAAAGAAATGAATTTGGACTGCTGTCTTTGTAGCTTTTAGGAGACATATGTGAAGTATTAATATCTCTGACTTACAGTGGTTTGACATGGAATTTTTCTACTTTCTGATGATGATGTACGCTTACAGTCATTTGATTTTTTTACTTATTTAACAAATAACAAATATTTAACAAATAAAATACTTACTTTACTATTTAACAAATACTTTTTAATAAAGTACTTTTGTGCTTATTTAACAAATAGCAAATAATTAACAAGTAAAATATTTAGCATTTTATCATAAAATAGGTAAATGTTCTGAGTTAAATAAATATTCTGAGCATGTTGAAGGTAAGTGAGGCTAACCTGTGGTGTTCAGTTGGTTAGGTTAACTACATTTTTTATTTACAATATTTCCAAGTTATGATGAGTTTATCAGGACATAAGTCAAGGAGCCACTGTAGTGAGTCAGGCCTCAAAGGCAGATCTACGGAACTGGTTGGGTCTCATATCTAAAGTTAGAGACAGATGGTATAAATCCAGTCTTTGTAGGCAGCAAGCCCATGGTATGACTTTCCTGCAAACAAAGACTGATTTACGTATTTTTTGTGCTCTCATTAGAAGGTTTATGGGAGTGTTGGTATTTGTAGTGTGAGGTGAGTTACTTTATCTGGATTTACTCAATAGAGAGTAATGCCTTACTCAGTGATGCCTATCAGTAGTTCCCTGGTAATTTATGCTAAAGAATTGTTAACTAGTTCCAAGACTGTTCCAGAAAAAATACATCAAACTGAAAACTAGATACACTAGGTTTTCAAAGAAAGGCAGGGGATTGGTTGAACAGTAAAAGTATTTAAGGAGAAGAGACATGAAAACATGCTAGACTCTTGCTACATTTAATTCCAGTGCTAAACATTTACGAATCAGCCTGAAGTACCAGGGCTTTAGGGGATCAATTGGGGATATTATGTGTGAAGAAGGGGACATCTGTAGAAACACCTAGCGCGTGAGTCCTAAGCCTAGTGCCTGCTGCCACTAGTCTCCTGGACAGTCTGGGGTCTGCCTCCGTGCCAGCCTTTCCTCCCAACACTGTCCTCTCTAAAGCTGATCTAAGCTTCCATCACAGTGTCTGCATCTTTTGTCCCTGCTAATTTTGTGGGATATGATTCTTGTTGTTGTTGCTGTTGTTTGTTTCTGGTTTTGTTCTGGGAGGGGTGTACGAAAATTGAACCAAGAGCCTTTATATTGTGCTACATTTTTAATTTCTGATTTTGAGAAAATTTTGTTAAGTCATTCAGTTACCCAGGCTGGGCTTGAATTTGCATCCCACCTGCCTGAACTTCTCAGAGGGCTGGGATCACAGGACTGCACTGCCAGGCCCAGCTCTGGCTTTGCTAACTATGTTGAACTATTTAGCAATCTTTACTATTTGGTGGTGGCTACATGGAAACTCTAGTGAGAAGTGGTTGTATTTACGGTAAGGAAAGATTCCAAATGTTTCTCACACTTCGTTTATGTTCCATTTGCATGATTTTTGTCTTACCTCTATACTATCTTAAGAAATGCTCTTTTTTTTAAATCCTAAAATTTATTTTAAAAAGAAAGTGCATCCTTGTCTTAAATCGCAAACTACTATATCACCTGTCACAAATAGAAGGTAAATATGAAAAGTTAAAATGAAGTTGTTTGT